GTATCAGGCCGGTATGGTACATGTCGTTCGTTACCTCCAAGCCGGCTCAAAATGATCAAACCTTAGTCAAAACGTTTTCATGAGCCAACACATGGCATGCCGTTTTTTTGTACGTCATCTCTGTTCGTCCTCACAGAACTGGCTGTGCGCTCAGGAGCATGCTTCGGGTCGGCGGTGCAGCGTACGAAAGCCCTTCAGATTCAGGTGGCTCAACATCAACCGGGGAAAAGCGCTGACACCAATGGCATCGTGGAAGAGTATGGCCTTCCGTTCGACATCCAACCGCTGCAGGAGGACCCCACGGCGACAGTGCGCAGAACGCACCCCTGGGGAGCAATGCCGGGCCTTACTACGGGCCTGACGCCCTGCACGACTGCAACCACGGGGATGACTGCCGCCAAAAGTACGGTGGGATAGACTCATGCGCCCAGCTCTCGGGGGTCAACCTCAACGCGCACGAGCAGAACCATGCGAAGAAGAAAAAATTTCTGCACATGTTGAATGTCATGAAATTTGACCGCTTTGCGTTCATGGTAACTCTGATCAACGAGACCGAGAATGAGGCAATAAACCGCAAATCGGTGGCAAACATGGTCAAGCGTGTTCGAGGCCATGGCTCGGAACGAGTAGAGATTTGCCAGGCTCAGGTTTGGTTCTGCGGCAGATGCTTCTGCCAGAAGTCTCTAATGCGATCATTCGACCAGTTCGGCCGGGTCCGGCTGACCTTTGTTAAGCCATAGCCATACTTTTGGGGGGGCTCGGATGTTGTTGTACGATGTCTCGGATGCTTTGTGGTACGGTGTCCGCTTGAGCTGAACCGCTTGCGCCATTACGTCATTTCGCCCGGTTCGCAGTGGTGGGTAGAGTTAATTTTTTTTTGTAGTCTTTCGGCTGATGGTGTGTCGAGGCTGGTGGTAGGAGTATTCGGCTCCGCGTTTTGGGGGATAGATACGTTTGGTTTTTCTTGAGGGGAATTCATTGGTTTCGCTACACGATAGGGTTGCTTCAAGAACTATTT